TTCAGATTGACAGAAAGTTGCAGGTAATCAGACTAAGACACGACACTAGTCCATAAAGTTCTACACTGTTGACCTGAGCAGTTAAGAGAAATGTGTACTTTACGTTCGGGTCTAGAGTGACAATTAGAATCGATGGCTGGAAACTTGAAATAATACAGCGCAAAATCAGTCGCAATGACACAAGTGTATCCACACATAAACTTTATCTCGTTCACCATTCCGAATTTCTTCACTGCTTCCTCCCTCCCTGATATCATTCCACATCTTTCTACAGACTTTGGAAACTGTCTTGATCATTACTTCATAATTCATCTTCGTGCATTCTTCCTTGATTTCTTGATGTGAAACATAGCAACTTGGACAGTTACGCGGTTATGTCAGGTCTCACGCTGATGCTGACCATGTAACATTCTTATTGTATGAATCAATTTTTTAAAATGTTATTCATAAGGAAATATACAGAGTCACAAATGGCGAACAATTCATGTAGTAGCTACCTAATCTCTTAATTTGTGCCTCTTCCAACTAGGCTGATCAAAATGAATGGAATACACTTGTTCAACAATTAAACCAACTGAATACAATAATTATGGATTATTTTTCTAATTTAATGCATAAAGTCATGAATACGCTTAAAACTTAGATCAAATATTTCAAGCACCTAGCCGAATAATTATCTTGATGAAGATTTTGCTTGCATTCATTTTAACTAGCATTACTCTGTTCAGATAACTTGAAATATAATTTCATCTGATTTGTCTGTCCACATAAAACAATATTTGATAAAAAAAAAAGCGAAACCGTTCAGATGAACAAAGGAACAGCATAGAAATAGAAATGACTGGTTATCTTTTCGGATGTCTGATGTTATATTAGTAGCCGTCTTTAGAAAAGTTTGACAACAAAAGATCAAAATGGCTGTATACAAAATAGTTATCTAATTTAGTCATTAAAGCTCTACAACACCATCAAGGCTTCTCATAGCCAATAAGCATAAAGCTCCAGGCAGCAAATAATTGTAGTAATTCAAGTAATTATTAACTTCACTGGTTTATGGAGTTGACTGTTTAAGGGTATTTGTCGTCACTGGCCAAAATAAGTTAGAGAACCAAGATAAACGTAAAAACACTGAGAAATCGTTCTTTAATAGTTTGGGATTTTTGGAAAGTAAACACCGATGACTGCATAAGGGATGGAGCGAAGAACTGTTGAATATCATGGAAATCACGTCCTCATTCCACTACTGGGTAAAAACTTGTGGTCTATGCTCTCCTACTTTTATCAATTCACTATGTGATCTCAACAACCTTCAGTACTGTCGACAGTATTATCCTCATATCTGACGCGATTGCATTCACACGTCATGGCTTCTCGATCTCAAAGTAATGAAGTAATGAGGAGTTGAAATTAATTAAACTGGTAGTTCCAAATGAAGAGGCTATATGATTAAAACAGCTGTCATATGCTGGTAGGTATTCATTGATTCATAAGTTAATGTCACCACGTTATGAAAATGTCTATGCAACTAATCCGAAATTTACTTTGATTCCCATATAGCTTTTCAGAAGTTATATCTCAAAAGGACATGTTAAAACAGTCTTACACTATTGCCAACTCTAACTTATTTGAAAAACTAAAGCACTTGTGAATTATTTGAGTTGATTTATTTGATGAGACATACAGTTAAGCAGCATTATTTATCTGGTCAGTATGGCTACTGTACACTGATTTCATTTTTTAAGAATGTTCAAACCTTTCTTCTTTGCTTAAAAAATTGACTTTCTGTATTTTCTAGTGGGAATGATCACCATGATCATAAATTTACAGAAAATTTTCTTTCCACTTAGCTTGATACCACTTCTATATGACATTTTTGGATTCCGGCCAATAAATCCAAGTTAAGTATTTTCTTACCATACGCGTTTCTGTTGTGTCGAAGATTCTAGCTAAGAGATTGATAACCCACTATGTTCTATTGGTCATGTGATATTGATAGGACCACTGTTAGTGACTTTACACTCTCCTTCGATCATTACTTTTTTGGACTTTTAAGTTTGAGTATTCTCTGGTTTTATGAAAACAGCTAGTCTCATTTTACTCCAATTTCCTGTTTAAAATGCAAATATTTCATGGTACTTTCGTTTTTCATTTGTTTGGTATGGAATAGAACTGGACAGTAAACAATAAACAATGCTGTTTTACTTTGCAACTTACTTACTGAACGAGCTGAAACAGAACTCTATTCTACCTTGGTGCTCATTTCTACTCTTAAAATACATTTTTGTTAACCGCATATACTTTATTCTTGTCACGATAATTAACTGGGAAAGATTCTGGTACAGTATCATAAAAAGATAATTCATCATTTTTAGACATTTTTCCCAGTTTGTTTTCCTAAATTATGCATAGTATTGTTTCAATGGAATCAAAACGTTTGGTAGAACAAGGGTATAGTAACGCTCTTAACATACACCGAACTTAACTGAACATTTTGTGTGATGAAAATGGTTGTCGAAGAAACGGAATGAGATTATTTAGAAAAAGAAAACAAATAGCTTGGTTCCTACCTAATAACACACAACTCATGATGAATTAAGTAAGTGGGGGCCTTAAGATAAGGATTAACACTAAAAATTAGATAGCTAGAGCAATAATGAAGCTATTCTTTTCAAAACTAGTTACAATAATAACATAAATCCCATTGTGACATAAAAACAAAATATTCATTGAATAGGACTGTTTTCATCGAATTTACTCTCAGGCTGTATACTCGTATAAGTGTATGTAGTTTCTGGTTTATGGAGACTATTTTAAAGGTTGTATTCACCACGTACTAACATCCGTTGGAGAACCATTGAAAACCTGGGGGGAATGAAAAGGTCTTTTATCCTGGTATGAGACTCCACGGAAGTACCTACCAAAAACCCTGCCAGAAATCAAACTCAGAACTGTCAGATCTCGTGACGAACGCGTCAACCATTCAGCCACGGGGTCGGAGTTAAATGGTCCTACTTCTGTCAGTTCACAATAAGGCGTGATTATCTACCAAGGTCTTCAGTTAGCATTCGCTTCACTTCTAACTGGCTTACCCTACAGGTAACGGCTCCTCGTTATAACTTCGGGATATCCATCTCGAAGCACTTCACTAGTGAGCACTGTACAGAAATGTAATTTGGGGTTGATTTGCAATTCATTTTTAAGGTAGTTTCCGTCAGTTGGAAGTGTAGCCAATGCTAACTGAGGACCTTGGTTGATGGTCACGCTATATCATGAATTGACGGAAGTAGGAAGCTATGAACCACTGAACTCCTACCCAGTGGCTGAATGATTAACGCATTCACCAATAGACCTGAAGGTCCTGAATTCGAACCCAGTGGAGTCGTGGGTGCGTACTGCTGAAGAGACCCACATTAGGAGGAAACAGCTGTCCAGTTTTCCTAGGCTTTCGATGGTTCTCCAACTGGTGTCGCCTCGTGAGGAATATATATCTATAATATTCCAAGACTTAAGTCCGTGCGAAAAAATAATTTTAGCTGATGGGAGAGTGAAATGACAAAACGAATGGTTATATTTATAATAATTTTTCTAGTTGATGATGTGAAGGTCGAATGATAACAAAAAGATAACAAAGGATTTTCAACTGGTTCATACGGTGCATATAGATTAAAAGGGGGGGGGGAGAGGGACATTGTAAAGCTAACAAACAAACAAAGAATTACGTAATATGAACGACTCAAGTCGATTGAAGTAAAATGGAAATGTTTTGTTAAAAGTTGTAAGTACTAAGAAGATTAAATGAAGCAAAACCAGAAACTAGTAGCTGCAAAAGTAATGCTGATAATGACGATGTAGGTGCACACGTCTTCTAGGAATAGTGAAAGTTATTTCTCTGGTAGCCACAACAATGGATAAATACATATGACTCCAATATGGACAATTTTAGAATCTGTTCTCCATACTTGTCTTTATTTTAAAAAAGCCGTTTCGTCGTTGACCATGTGACATCGCAGAAGATCATTGGGTAGACTATAGGCTAATATTTCCTGTCTAGGTTTGTCATTGGTATATAGATACACCTATTCAACAGTTTATAAAGTATGCTAATTGGCTGTTTTACTTTTATAAATGTGCACTGTATTCTATTTCACTATGAAATTGCATGCCGTTGTGATATAGCCTCACATTTTACTCATGCTCTGGTAAACTTTTATTCATTGACAGCTGAGTTAATAGAAAACAACAAGTTTGATTATCATATCAGATAAAACTATGGGCGACTTTAAGGAACATCCTAGCAACTACCAAATTAACCAATCAAATGTCCAAATTTCGTATGGAAACAGTTTTTCATCGAATCGAGGAACGTGACTGGTTATCTCATCAGTTGCTAGAATGGCGCTTAAAGTCACCTTAAAACTACTACAACTAGCCAAGAGATGGGAACTAGGTTGTACAAGCCCTTAAGTGAGTAAAAACTATTTATGAGCTTCAAGAAGCAATTCTAATGACTGACATTTTCAGTTTCACTGAACTTCTGAGTGTTGTTAAAATTGTAGTGTATTCGGCTAACTTTTGAATTTAAAAAATGTAATTTAAATTTAAGATAATAACTGTATAAACCTAATCATAAGCCTTTCTAAAATATTTGTCAATTGTTTAATTGTTTCGAAAGTTCGTCGTTTTATCATTTACTATCACAATATGACTGAATCACTCTTCAGTTTGACAACAGTTTAGCATAAAAGTAAACTAATTAATTGTATATGATGCTGAATTCAATCAGTGACTCTAAAGGTTATCCTCACAACTAGTAAAACAGGCAATTAGGTTTCTTTATTCGTGAAAAACTATCTTCCCACCTAAAATAGTGATACCTAATTAGTCACTTTATTGGTTGCTAGAGTAGCCATTAGAGTTGTCTGGACTCAATTTGAAAAAATTTCACTCCACCACTGGAAGTCTCACAGTTTGCAGTTATCATGGTTTTTGCTCATTCACAGTTGAAGAAATCGATGAAGTTATACTTAAATTAAAACAGAATGAATTGAGCAAGAATTTTGTACGAAGCGGAAAGAAAACAAGTTTACATTATGCAGCTTATTGGGCTTCACAAACATGTGTTCAAGTAGGTTGAGAATGTACTTTGTCTGCATATGTCAGTGTTTATAAACCTGTTTTTAATTCGTTTTAAATATTATTTTCGATATAAAGGGGTCTAGATTTTTTTTCTACAGGATGTAGCTTCAACAGAAAATAACTATTATCTATATCTATCTAAAACTGCACATAAATGTTTTGCGAGTTCACCTTTGCGACACTAATGAATGATAACTGTGAAATATAGCAGTTGATAACTATTTAAATACAAGATAGTGAATTGACGACCTAAATGAGGAATCTAACTACTGACCACCTAAGTCAGTCAATGAGGCTGTTAATCCACAATGACCAGAGTGACTGCGAGATATGTTATACTTTTGGAGCTACTGTAAACTCTGTTGCACTATGTTCATTCATATGTGGTTAAGATGAGAAAAATCTAAGCTCGGCTAGATAAATAATGAAAAAATACAGATTCACTAACTAACTAGTTAGTGTATCAGCCATATACGTTTCCTGCTTTTTCAGTTGAATTAGAGCTATTCGTTATTTACTTGTGTCGGTGTCCATGTTGTTTTGATGCTTTTTTCTCTGCAACTACAAGTACAATATACAAAAGTTACCTACAAAACAACATTTTGTAGTATTAATACATCTAAAATGGCACAAAACCAAGTAATAAAAAGTTAAATTGTTCATATTCATTGGTGCGTAAAAACTGGACATAGAAAGAAAAATTTCAGCCTAATCATGAATCACATACGTTAATTACACCTTCATAATCCAAATGGCTTGTATTTGTTGATGATTAGTGCTCAAATGTCTTTAACATCAAGTTACAATACAACAGTTCGGTATTCCTTAGTTGCTCTGTCCGGAGGCATTGCATGAAATATAGTTACCGGGAACAGATATAAGCCTAATGAGGTATTTTATGCGAATAGAGTGTTTACATATTCCTTAAAATGTTACAAATGCATTGTACAACTATGTTTGCCTACTGAAAAGTATGATGAATTTGCTAATTTCAAGGTCTACTTCGACACTTCTCACAGCTGAGTAATTTTTCAACTACCCAACTATGAGGTCAGTAGTATTTTTGTTGAAAACCACCCAGTCAATATGATATTTTATGATTTCGACTGAACAGAAGGAAAAATTCTGCTCTGTAAGATAAATTTATGTGATCACACTGTTGATGAGCAAGTCTACAAACAAGCGAAACATCCATGGGCTGTAGAAATCACTGTGATTTGGCTGATGAAATCTTCAGATAAACCAAAGTGGTTTCTGACCAATCACGTTGTTCAGTAGTATATTTTATCATCTCTGACCTGGTTAATTTGTTTCATAGATTAAAGGTAATTACCTTTCATCATCATCATCTCTTTGATATCAGTGTACACTTATAATAATACTTTTCATCAATAAAACAATCAGCAATGATTTTTTTGAAGAAGGCCATAATCAAAATTATAAATGACTGAAAGCTTTCTTTAGAAACAAAGGAGTGATCTTTATGATTAAATAACAAGCTTAATAATTACATAGTATAGAAACTGATTTATGTGTCTGCATTAGTTAATATTTTTAGTGCGCAGCTTGATAATAGGTCATTCTAGGTTCACCTTATCTCAATCTCATAGTATATAAGGTTACTGGATTTAGTCATTATATGTTTTAGAATAATATCTGTACAGCAGGCATTGAAAATAGTATTCTTCAGACTGGCTGTAAGGTATTAGTGTAGAAAAGTATCTTTTATGAGAATTTTAGAGTATCTCCGTCAATTCACAGTTTCCAATAACTGAGTATTCGAAGGCGTCGTGATGGTGATAACAGAAAGTAGTATAAAGTAATAAAGCGATTATTTAGTGACTGTAAATGTAGTCTGATTTCATAGAAGCCAGTTCTTCTTTGCAAACTCTGCAATAACCTACGAAAATACAGTACTAGATGCAAAAGCTTCGAATCTAAGGGAAGAAATGACTTTCCATAAGATTAAAAACCTCATCTGGTTAACTAGTTCACTAGTTACTAGCCAGTCCTAAGCCCAGATAAAGAGGGAATGTCAGGCATATGGGTAGCAAACCTACCCCATAAAACCAATCCAATAACCAGAGAAACTTCAAAGCACAGAGAAAATATGAAAAATAAAAACTTATTCCTCACTGGAATCGGAGAGACGAAATGACGACGGTTGGTGAAAGCCTTCAGGAAGCCAATTGGCCGATATTTCTTCTCTTCCTCCATGAAAGCGAAAATAAGAATGGGAACATGGAATGTCCACACTATGTTTGAACCTACAAAGGCTGCCCACATTGCAAACGAGATGAGAAGGTATCACATTGAAGTGGTAGGAATCTGCGAAAGCAGGTGGAATCGAAGTGGACTCTCCAAACTTTCAACTGGAGAATCAATGATCCACTTCGATACTGTCACCCACACGACAACCACGAACACACTGGGTTTTCGAGTGGCTATCATGATGTCACCTTGAAAAGCGTCGAGGGCTCTCTGTTGTGCAGTGAGAACCAATCTCCTCCACAGTCAGGATCATGACAGTGAGGTTCAAGTCAGAAGGACGGAAAGTCACAATCATACAATGCTAGGCTGTGCACCTACAAATAATAAGGCAGATGAAGAGAAGAAGGAGGAATTGTACAGACAAGTGGAATCAGTACTGGAGAAGACCCCAGTTGAGTTGGCGACATGAGAATTCTAATGGGTGTGGTGACATGAATGCCAAACTGGGAGGGGACAACACAGGAAGAGAACTAACCATGGGTCGAGGAGCACTCAGTGAAATGAACGAGAATGGAGAACTGTTTGCAGACTATTGTGCATTCAATGATTTGGTGATTGGAGACAGTGTGTACAAGCAGAACAACATTGGCAAAGCGACATGGATTTGATTTCATCAGATGGACATATTACACAAAATCAGATCGACTTAGATTCCATGTGAAGAAAGTGGAGAGGCAGCCTACTGGACACAATATCAGATCAAGAGGGGGAGCAGATGTAGGTGGTTCACACCACTCACTATGTGGTGCAAGGAGACTTCGAAATCAAGTTGAAAGGCTTCAATTCGAAGAAGTTGGTGATAGACCACATTTGAAGTTCAACACCTAGACAGAAACTAAAGGGGGATAAAACAAGAGACATCTACACGTTAGCCATGAGGACAAAACGGGAGGCACTAGGCAACATCCCTGAGGACACCTGTGTGGATGAACACTGGAACTCTTTGAAGGCTATATTGAAGGAGGCCTGCATACCCGTGTTAGGAAGAAAGAGAAAGAGGTGAGACAAGGAATGGAACTCGACGGATACATGGGAGGTGATAGGGGAGGGATGGGAAGATGATGATGGTGAAGCGGAAGATGAAGCATTTCAGTGCAGTGTGGAGATGAACAACGAAAAGAGGAACTGAACACAACCTGTAAAACACTGCACTGGAGAGTGGAGTGAAGAAGAGTGCACGGAAAGACAAAAGACACTTCCACGACACACTGGGCACTGAAGCAGAACATGCTGCAGGTAGGAGAGACCTGACAATATTGTATCAAATAACCACCAGTGTATTATCCGGGAAGAGATCAATACAAATGAAATCAATGAAAGATGATGAAGGAAATTTAATTACCAAAGAAGAGAAACAAAGGAAACGATGGGCTGATCACTTCAGAAAACTCCTCAATCGACCACCACCTGCAACGTGTCCAGAAATACCACCAGCAGCCCAGACACAGAATTACCAGTGAACACCAAGCCCGCCAACAACAGCCGAAGTGAAGTTCTGAGCACCATAAAGCTTCTGAAATGAGGGGAAGCAGCACGACCAGATGGAATTCCTCCTGAAGCTCTGAAAACTGAAGCAGAGACAAGAGTGGACATGCTCACACCACTAATGCAGAAGGTGTGGAAGGAAGGAAGGTGTCCACCGATTGACTGGAAGAAGGGCTTCCTTGCAAAAACTCCAAAGAACTGGTGCGGAATCATGCTCCACTTCTGTCCACACCAAGCAAGCAAACTATTATTCTGCATCATCCTGGAGGACTAAAGGATGCGCTGGATTCAAAACTACGACCGGAACAGGTTGACTGGATTCAGGAAGAACAAATCATGTGTGGATCAAATTGCAACGCTTCGCATCAGCATAAAAGAGAGTGTAGAATGGCAGTCAGCTGGGTATTGACCTCAACTTCATCGACTTTGTAAAAGCCTTCTATCGAGACGTCGACCGAGAAGTAATTTGGCAGCGGCTGCTTCAACACTCCGGTTTAGTGCCGCAAACATTTATCAACCTGATTCATCAACTATATGATGACGCTGCATATCAAGTGATTCAAAATGGAAAGCTCAGTTACGCCTTTGAAGTGAAGACACGAGTACAACGAGGCTGCCTCCTACTATCACCCATGATCTTCCTGATTGTGGTCGACTGGATCATGCAGCAGACTACTGTGAGGAGCTGTGAGAAGATGGACATACGCTGGACCAATGAAAAGAGCCTATAAGAAATGGATTTCGCCAACGATGATGATTTGTGTCTAATGTCTTATGTTGCACAGGCTTGAAGATCTCCGAGTGAAAACCAACAATTTGACAGAAGAGGAATCGAAGGAAGTCGGGACTTCAAGTAAATGTAGAGAAGACAGAGAGAATGAAGATACCCAACTATCATCACCAACAACAACAACACGCACCAATCACCATCAACGAGAGAAACCTAAAGTAAGTAGTCTCTTTCACCTACCACCTAGGCGGCATCGTTTCAACTAATGGTGGTGGCACAGATGAGGATGTCGAAGCCAGGATCGGAAAGACAACAAGACTGGCCTTCATTATTCTGAAACCAGTGTGGAGATCTACTGCACTGCACTCAGCATAAAGCATAAACAAGATCCAGATTTTCAACACCATTGTCAGTCGAGTCAGTGCTTCTATGTGATGGTTGAGAAACTTGGAGTGTCACGAAAAGCATTTCCAACAAACTACACATACACATTATCGACAGCTGCCGCCTACTCTGGTTCGATACTGAAGATCATATAGATGGCGAGAATAATGAGAATAAGCAAGGAGGAACTGTGGCTGGCTGGCTGGCTGGCAGGCTGGCAAACAACCAACCAACCGACCAACCAAGAACCTTTCACTCAACAAATATGCAGAAGGAAGTGGATATTAATTGGGCATACACTGAGAAGGCCGATTGGGGACATCATGCACCAGGCCAGACCATCGAGTGGAGTCGAAATGGGAAACGACGATTTGTGCGTGTGAGGCGAGGGTGACATTGAGGAGATGATGTTAGAAAGAAATGAAAGCTTTTAGGAAGACTGCAGAGAAGAGAGTGGAATGGAGACGTGCTACTGATTCCCTATATTCCACTGGGAACTCAAGGGACAATTAACAATAATAAATTGAGATTTCAAACGCACTTAATAAGATAATTTTCAAAAAGGTTCAGTTTAAAAGATATTACGGATGGCATTTTGAACACAGTAGCAACGAGATATATGTATTGGTCGAAAACTAACTATTTTGAGAACTAAAATTCGAAGGTTAAATAGGTATTCTAGTGGAACTGCATTTCGAACCTAAATGACATAATGCTAGTTAAAGCTTTTATTTCACTTTCACTTACCAACTTCTATTCTCACCTTATGAACATGCATTTCCATCTGTTCTGTTTATTTTAATTATTATATTATTATTATTAGTCCCTTGGGTTCCTAGTGGAACATAGGGCTTCAGTAGCACGCCTCCAGTGACCTCTGTTCTCCGAGATCTTTTGAACCTGGTTCCACGACAGCCCACAACCTCTCATTTCCTCCTCGCATGACCTCCTCCATGTCACCCTCGGACGTCCAACTCGTCGCTTCCCATGGGGATTCCATTCGAGGGCCTGACGCGTGATGTCCTCAGTCGGCCTTCTCAGTGCATGGCCAATCCATCTCCACTTCTTCCTGCATATTTGTTGCGTGATAGGTTCTTGGTTGGTTCGTTCCCAGAGTTCCTTGTTGCTTATTTTTTCTGGCCATCTGATCTTCAGCAGCGAGCGTAAGCAGTTGTTGATGAATGTCTGTAGTTTATTGGAAATCCCTTTCGTGACGCGCCAAGTCTCTGAGCCATACAAGAGCACTGACTTGACGTTGGTGTTGAAAATCCGTATCTTGTTCCACATGCTGAGTGCGGAAGATCCCCACACTGGTTTCAGGCTAATGAACGCCTGTCTTGCTTTTCCAATTCTGACTTTGACGTCCTCGTCCGTCCCGCCTGTAGTTGAAACAGTGCTTCCTAGATAAGTGAAGGAGGTTACTTCCTTCAAGTTTCTCCCGTTGACGGTGATTGGAGTTTGTTGTTGTTGTTGATGTTGGTGGTGCGGTATCTTCATCACTTCTGTCTTCTCTATATTCACCTGAAGTCCCGTCTTAGCTGCCTCTTCTGTCAACTTGTTAGTTTTTGCCTGCAGATCTTCAAGTTTATGTGACATTAGGCATAAGTCATCGGCGAAATCCAAGTCTTCTAGGTTCTTTTCCGTCGTCCAGTGTATCCCCCTCTTCTCGCTGCCTACTGTTTGCTGCATGATCCAGTCCACCACAATAAGGAATATCATGGGGGATAGTAGGCAACCTTGTTTCACTCCTGTCTTCACTTCAAAGGCATCACTGAGCTTCCCATTGTGGATTACTTGGCATGTGGCATCTTCATATAGTTGTTGAATGAGGCGGATAAAGGTTTGCGGTACTCCGTAGTATTGAAGCAGTTTCCAAATTACTTCTCGGTCGACGCTGTCAAAGGCCTTCTCAAAGTCGATGAAGTTGAGGTATAGAGCTGATTGCCATTCTACGCTCTGTTCTATGATGATACGAAGCGTTGCAATTTGGTCAGCACATGATTTGTACTTCCTGAAGCCTGCCTGTTCCGGTCGCAGTTTTGAATCCAGTGCGTCTTTAAGCCTCTCCAGGATGATGCGGCTTAATATTTTACTTGGGGTGGATAGGAGAGTGATTCCTCGCCAGTTCTTGCAAGCACTGAGGTCTCCCTTCTTCGGCAGTTTGACAAGGTAACCCTTCTTCCAATCGACAGGTACCTTCTCTTCCCTCCACACCTTCTGCAATAGTGGTGTGAGCATGTCCGCTGTTGTCTCTGCATCTGTTCTCAGTGCTTCTGGCGGTATTCCATCTGGTCCTGCTGCTTTCCCGCATTTCAGTAGCTTTATGGCGTTCAGGACTTCCATTTTCGTTGGGGGATTTATGTTCACTTGTAATTCAGCGGCTGCAGGTGGTATTTCTGGACGAAGTGCAGGTGGTGGTCGATTCAAGAGCTTCTTGAAGTGGTCGGCCCATCGTTTCCTCTGTTTCTCTTCTTTTGTAATTAAATTTCCTTCTTCATCTTTTATTGGTTTCATCTGTGTTGGTCTCTTCCCTGATAGCAACCTGGTTATTTGATACAATGTCGTCAGGTCTCTCTTACCTGCAGCCTGTTCTGCTTCACTTGCCAGTGTGTCGTAGAAGTGTCTTTTGTCTTTGCGTGCACTCTTCTTCACTTCTTTATCCAGTGTTTTATACATTGTGCTCAGTTCCTCTTGTCGTTGAGCATCCTTGCACTGGTTTATCTTCTGCTTCACCATCCTCCTCTCCTCTATCAGCTTCCAGGTATCCGTCGAGATCCATTCCTTGTCTTCCACCTTCTTCTTTCCTAATACTGTTGTGCAGGTTTCTTTCCACATAGCTTTCAAAGACTTCCAGTGTTCTTCCACACAGGTTTCTTCAGGGATGTCCCTCGACGTCTCCCATTTTGTCTTGATGGCTGCTTTGAAGATCTCCTTTGTAGTTTCATCCTTCAGTTTCCGAGTGTTGTACTTGAATTGAGGTCTATCACCAGCTTCCTTGAAGGCTTTCAACTTGATTTGGAAGGTTCCTTGCACTAGATAGTGGTCTGAACCTACATCTGCTCCTCTTCTTGACCTTGTGTTAAGTAGACTGCGTCTCCATTTTCTTGAGATTGAGATAAAGTCGATTTGATTTTTAGTGTGTCCATCTGGTGAAGTCCATGTCGCTTTGTGAATATCCTTGTGCCTGAACACACTGCCTCCAATCACCAAATCGTTGAATGCGCAGAATTCTGCAAACAATTCTCCATTCTCATTCATTTCACCTAGCGCCTCTCGACCCATGGTTAGTTCTCTTCCCGTGTTGTCCCCTCCCAGTTTGGCATTCATGTCGCCCATTAGAATTTTGATATCGCCAACTGACGTCTTGTCCAGTGTTGACTGAAGTTGTCTGTAGAATTCCTCCTTTTTCTCTTGCTCTGCATTATTTGTAGGTGCATAACATTGTATGATTGTGACCTTTCTTCCTTTTGAGTTGAATCTTGCTGTCATGATCCTGGAGGAGATTGGTTCCCACTGCATGAGAGCCTTCGATGCTCTTGAGGACATCATGATAGCCACTCCCTCAGTGTGCTCGTGGTTGGCGTCTGGGTGACCAGAGTAGATTATTGATTCTCCAGTTGACAGTTTGGAGAGTCCACTCCCATTCCATCTGCTCTCGCAAATCCCAAGCACTTCGATGTTATACCTTCTCATCTCCTTTGCAATCTGGGCTGCCTTACTGGGTTCAAACATCGTGCGGACATTCCATGTCCCCACGTTTACTTTCGCTTTCATCGAGAGAAGACACATCGGCCAATTGGCTTCCCGAAGGCTTTCACCAACTGGCGTCATTTCGCCTCTCCGATTCCAGCGGGGAATAAGTTTGTTTTCATTTTTTATATTTTGTTTGTGCTTTGAAGTTTCTTTAGCGGTTAGATTTGTTTTACGGGGTAGGGTTGCTAGCCCTATGCCCAACCTTCCCTCTTTACCCGGGCTTAGGACCGGCTAGTAACTAGTAAACTAGTTAACCAGGCGAGGTTTCTGTTTATTTTAAACAACAGGCTTATTCTTGATTTTAATTTGGTAGAGTTATATTACTTTTAGTCAGGTTTGCTTGATACACGTAATGTGTTTTAACTTAATTTTTCAGTAGTACAAGTAAGCAAAGAAGAATTTCACTTAGTTTCTTAAAATATCAGTTTTCACTTTTCATAGCATTTACACTTTCCAATATTTTCCAGACTTTAGTACTCCAAGGTTCTGATCTTACTGCTCGTGATGAATATGGCCTGACACCAATTATTTGGGCTAGTGAATCAGACCAGTTAACAAATTTGGTAGTTTTGTTAAATGTGAGTATGTATTTAAAAACTTTATGAGTATAAGAACCCCCTAACTAGTTTGTTAGGTTTTTCATGATTACACTCTAACAGATATATTTCTTTTTATGCCTAACGATTTAGTAGAATTCGATTTTTTATAGTCAGAGTATTAGCTTTTGCATATTTATATGGAAGTATAAATTTCTTAATATGTAGGGACTAAACGGATTCCTGAACATAGTTTAGTTATAAATATATGGACTTCACATAGAATGTAAACTAATTCACAGTCGTATTTGGATATTAAGGGTTTTTACAGAAATGTCTTTCTAAATAATATCAAAATGGAAGGCGGTTCAAATTTGATAAGACCCATAAATAAAAGTTCAGCAGCCCACACGCAGTCAATTCTATAAAGCGAGTAAACAAAACAGTAAGTTATCTAAACATGATCCAGTTTCTCTTGACTTTGAATAGACGTCGGTATTGGACAATTAGATATCAGTCAACTTAAGAAGGCAGTCTCAGAATAATAAAGTTGCAGATATCATGAGACTTCGTGATGCCATTGTTGATAAAAAAAAGGGTTACTTCCTACAAATCTGTTCAAATTCTTAGGCAGGAGACTTGAGGTATCAGCCATTCATATCAACAGGCGAAATATTCTATAGTAACGCAGTACTGTTTATTTCATTCTTGCTATATGGAACCAGATTTAATTACTTACTCTTAGGAGATGGGTAATATCCCATTCATTAATAAATACTACTCAACTCCAGTTACATAACACTTTTCCATCTCTAATTTCTTAGCCTAGCTAAACAGGCTAATAAAAGCTAAAATAACAGGTCAACATTACCTCCCATAAGTAAACGTTTACCTTCTAGCCGTAGAAAAATTGATGATAGTTTCTGTTTGACCGAACGACAACAGAATATAAAGTTGATATTAAATCTCTGTGACCCAAAGACTCCTTGTTCGAATCACCCCACAATATAACTTTTTATTTCACTTTCATTCATTACCCTGTACCAACTTATGTCTGTATAAATCCTATGATAAATATATTTATTTGACGTGGCATAATGATAAGTAATATTTTCTAGATCCAGTATATGCTGGAACCAAAGACTTATAGTTTTCAAGGTTGGTACACTTCTGCTTTAGCTATTGACTCAATTCAATTGTTTAGATACTAAAGTACTTACAACTTTGATTACGGGTTAATGCGTGGGTCGAAATAGGGTGAAACAATATGTTATTTAAAGTGATCACGTCTCACACCAGTACATTGAGATGATATAACACCAGGTGGAACAGACAGAAAATAATTAATAATACATGTGGTCGAATGAGGTTGGGAGAGAAAGAAGAGAAATCAACTAATATACAAGGAAAAGGAAACAAAATGACAATATTCCAAGCACCAGACACATGGAAATAGAGATCTGCTTGCACTAGGCTCTTTGTTCTCATTCAGAAACTATGTTGGTCATTACTTCATACTTGGTGCTAAAGAAGTAAGCGGTTCGTACCATTAGTAGTTTTTATTCCAGTGTTATGATTCTCTGATCATAGCTATCATAAAGATATTCAGTTCTTGCGAAATATTACTGATTTATCTAAAAATTCTCATTGTACTGTTCCTTTTTGATTGATTTATTGCTTGAATGTAGGCAGCTAAGTTACAGAATATTCCAGAAGGCCAATGGATATATGACAGTAGTGGCTACCATCTTATACATCATGCTTTGCATAAAGATGATCGTTTTAAATGTTTAGAGGTAAATTTATTTTAAGCATAACTATTTTTTTATCGGAGCTTTTTTTATTTTATCACTAAAGACATTAATGTTAAGATACAAAATTCTACTGAGATTGATTTCCTACCAATTTCGAAACTATTATTCTCTTCAATAAAAAAAATAGCTGATGATAAAAACCCAGGATATTATAGAAACATCAATTACAGAATATTGAATAATCCACCAATTTCTGCTTAAGGTCAATCAAGATTACAAGGTATGATCTCTGACACAAAAGTGTCATAAACTAGTGAAATATACTACTACTAGACAACCTAAGTAGTAGTAGGTGACTACAAGTTAGCTTAGAATAAATAACAACCACTATAATATTGGAGGCAGTGGGCGATGCAACAGTTTTGAATTATATAAATATGACCTCTAATCGATACTGAATATGCATGTTTATCATTCATTGAACTTGCAGGTAAATTGACTTTAGCTGTATGTGAGGGCGAGATGTATGCTTGTTACCATTCTACCTATCAAACAGGTTAAGTACTAGTGAAATTATCTTGTCTTAATGCCTTGTACGATAAGCCAACTACCTTTTAGGGCTACCTAACAGATCAGCGAACATACGTGAAACCATTTTCTGGTAGGCATTTTTGCCATTCTACTGACGTTATGATGATCCTAATCAGCAGGAATATTACATTTACAACCTGAAAGATAACATCTTACATAAAGTACAAGTTAAATCACCGCTAGCACTTCCTTCCTAGTCGTGCAGTAATGCTCCTCTGACTTATATTTTATGCAGAAGCCAAGTCTTTGCTTTTCGGCAAACATTTTGGCAGTACACACTTTCGATCGCGTGCGTACGTGTCAAAAATCAAATGCACGGGAACGGGATTTTTCAAATAGTCAAAGCTTTTTTACACATTAAAGTTCATTCAAAAGCTTTCTATCCACAAGATTACGTAATATCCCTTCGGTTTCTGGGTAGCACTTTAAGGACTATAAATCGTGTACAGCGAGATTCGGATACTTCATTTTTCACCAACGTTTCTAAGTATGAACCCATTTTAACATCTTTGGTTTTTTCATTGATAAAATGTATCCCTCACGTGTCTCTAGCATGACTCAAAAACTTTGCTTACTCAATTAACAAAGCTTGGATTTAGTGTGAATCCATTTCACCATTCTAAGACTTTCGTCAGATTCTTGACATTTTTCTTGACCGTTAGTGCACATCCAATATATTACGCTTGTGTTGTTGCTTGAGACGTTCAAGTACCTCTCACAAGAAGCGCTTAAGCAATATGCTGATGGATTTTGTTCCATTCATATATCTGGTACATCTGAATGATATCTTTATGCATAATTAGTATATCTGAACTTATATGCATACATGAGAGTCTTTACATTTCTTTTCAGTAATAGCTGCAACTATGAAATGTAGAATTCATTTTCGAGATCTTTCGCTAGTCAGCCATCGCAAGAGTTTTATCAAACTTATCTGGATAACCTAATATCTTACATTGTTTACACCGGTAGTCAGTATCTTCTAACCTTTACAATACCTCTTTCCTTCTTCATTTTTGTGCTTACTCAGAGTATTCTTCAATGAACACAATCTCCTAGCACTCATCCGTTTGACTGTATGACTGAAAAAGTTCACCTAATGAGTACCAAACAGCATATTTGTTTTTGTTTTTTCTTTACCGGTAATCCAGCACTTGGTCTAAGTGTTGATTGTCAAGTAGTATTGGAAGATATTTCCAATAGTTTGAAAGCTCTCTCATTAGTATCTCAATGAGTTACTGATCCTTTACCCTAAAAAGGTTATATATCTAAACAGAAATATGAACACTGTACTCCAATGTTTAGCTATATCTTAGTATGTAAATGGATATCTAATTGGTGACCTTTTTGGGGTGGATGAAAGAATAGAGATCAGTTACCATCACGATATCATCAATAACTGGCCAAATAAAATAAATATATGTGTTCATATTTGTCGAACAAGTAATGTAAAAGGACTTTGTAAGGCTTTGAGGAGAATGATGGGAAGGCGTATACTATCTTCATAGTGCACTATTTTCACTTGAAAGTTATGACAAAAAGTGGAACCACTTTATGTTTCCAATTCTTGGTAATGAGATCTAAAAGTTTTTACAAATTTACTAAAGTCGAAAGCACTATAATATAATATCTGTTCTATATCTTGTTTAGTATCTTGAAGTGCGACTAGCATTAAGTATTTCAGGTTCCAAGAATTCCTGGAAGCCGTTTATTCGTTAAGCCAAACACGTAAGACAAAATCAAATAGTTTTTATAATTAGTACCTCATTTTATGAATAAAGTAAGATAAAGTAAGACCAGCTACTTTCAAGAAATCCAGATATAGTCAAATCAAAAGGTTCAACAAATTAATGCAAGAAAAATATCCATTAGAAAATAGTCAGATTACAAATGAAACATTACACATCCATAGAACAAAGTGGTTAGTCAATCTGTACTCGATAGTCTTAAGCTCAACTTAAACAAAAGTACTTGAGAAGGACTTAACTTTAAACTGACAGTAGGTCATCTAAACTAAGTTAACTAAGCAGTGTAAAGATGAAAAATTATGTATAGTTCACTTAGGTAGACAATCATATTAGCAATTAGATTCATAATACATAAGTAATAGCAAACTGTAAACTCTTTAATTAGACTGCTTTCAGAAATAAAAGTTGATTAGTTAGTTCATTTGTAATACTTTCTTCATCACATAGGGGATGAGCTAAATACGGTATTGTAGAGTTTTATATTTTGTAGTAGGTGCATAAATTCATATGTACCTTCTTGTCTTGCCTGATGACCAACATGCAGAGAGCTTTGAGTGAAGAGGATGCTGGTTATCTGATGAAGTAACTCTTACCAGGTGTTTACATGAGTTAGCATGTTTGTCCACAACAGTTTTAATTGGGAAATCCTAGGCAGTATAGTATGGTCTTTCTTCAGCAACCCAGGAAAGAATAATGAGGAACGACAGAGGAGAATAGGTAAGATGCAGGAATTTGTCAAGCACAAGAGCAGAGACTGTTATACTAAATGCTCTCAGCTTCTTAATGTAGAAAGTTAGGCTGGAAATTGTCTTGGAAATAAGATATGGGAAAACCAGGAAAGGTTCGAAAACACCATGAGATAAATCACACTGGTAAAATTCTCTGATACACAATCACTAACAGAACAGGAACCATTCGAACCAAGCAGTTTACATAGGTCATGTTTGTGTCTGAAACTAAAGTTAAAAGTCTCCCATTTTGAAGAGTTAAGCACAGGACCATTCATGGATGATCATCGTCTAAAGGTAGCTAGAAAATCTAGTGAAGAGGTGATAGGTATGAAAAATACCAAGTCACCAGCACATTCGATAAAGTCGACACTAGCTGAAGATGGCTGGTCAGAAAGATAGATGGCTGCGGTAAGGGACAGCACCTTGGGAAACACCAGCTTCAGTAAGCAATGAAGTGGAAAGCTTCCCTCTGTTAACGGTAAATTGTTTCTTTTTAGAAGAATAAAAATACAGTCAGCTGATTGTACAGGACTCAGTATTTGTTGCAGCTACCTTGTCCAGCAAAAAAGGTCTTGGGACAGAATCAAATACTCAAGTACAGTCTAAAGAGGCGCGCCTGACATACATGACATTTCTATCAAGATTCTAAGCAGTATTGTGATATAAGACAGTGGTGACATTCAAAGCGCCTATTTTGCCTTTATATGTAAACTCATTAAGATCTTGAAAAACCTCTAAGGGATTAAAATATTACTACTGATATTTAGCAGAATAATTACTAGTATTTATTAAAAACCTTTTGAATTTCTATTTATTGTAAAGTCACTTCTATGGTTACTAGAAATGACACTTTCTTTCACAACAGAATTAGTGTATTCTTTACCAGAATTTACTTAATCTGCATAAGTAGATCTAAAATTCTTCTTTACGTATAAAGTTATTCCGTTCAGTTGAAAGCATATCAGTGAAAATATAATATATTATACTCTTTTTTAATTGGTTTTATTTTGTTGATTGGAAATTCTGAGTTTTGCTACAGAAGGATTACACTATATGCTAATGCTAAGCAAATAAGCACAGTAAATAAAGATACATTGAATAGCATTCAGATACCTCACTGGTAAATCTTAAAAAAACCTTTGCTAACCCCTAAATAATTTAGACGGGATTGAACACAGATCTATCTGTTTAACATCATAATTTATCCCATATCCTTGCTATCGTTTATTTTGTATGATCATTCTGTGGCTTACCCTTCATATGTAATGCGTAAAAATGTCTTTCAGATCAAAGACATTATGTTTTTAGAATTTAGTCAAAATTAATTTTTCCAATATAAAACTTTAAAACGGTTGTTGGGTTTAATTTATCACAAGCTTTGGAATATGCTTCTTACTTTTACATATCAGTGCGTACTTCGAACCTGCAATGAGGTGTATAAAAATACTGCTTTCTAACAAGTTACTGCGTTAAAACTCATTCCACGATTGTTTAACAACCCACCTTCATATAGATTCCATTACTGTACGATATGATTTGATTCATTCTTTTGGGATGCAGTTTTATATCTTTTCTAAATAATAATCCTTAAAATGTTATCCTCTGTTGGCATTTATCATTTTCAATAACTAGCCATTAACTCATGCTTAGCGTTAGGATTTCAACTAATATTGCAGTTATGCTCACATGATAGCCACCTTAGTAAAATAATTTTAGTTATATATACAAAAAATTATTATTATTATTTGTTCCTTGGGTTCCCAGTGGGATATAGGGAATCAGTAGCACGTCTACATTTCACTCTCTTCTCTACAGTCTTCTCAACCTGGATCCACAACTGCTCACAAGCTACTATTTCTTCCTCACATCATCTCATCCATGTCAACCTCGCCTCACACGCACAAATCGTTGTTTCCCATTTCGACTCTAATCAACGGTCTGGCCTGGTGCATGATGTCCCCAATCGGCCTTCTCAGTTTATGGCCAATTGGTCTCCACTTCCTTCTGCATATTTGTTGAGTGTTAGGTTCTTCGTTGGTTGGTTGGTTAGTTGACAGCCAGCAAGCCAGCCAGCCAGCCAGCCAACCAGCCACAGTTCTTCCCTGCTTATTCTCATTATTCTCACCATCTATATGATCTTCAGTATGGAACCAGAGTAGGCGGCAGCTGTCGACAATGTATATGTGTAGTTTGTTGGAAATGCTTTTCATGACACGCTAAGTTTCTCAACCATCACATAGAAGCACTGACTCGACTGACAATGGTGTTGAAAATCAGGATCTTGTTTATGCTTTATGCTGAGTGCATTGCAGTAGGTCTCCACACTGGTTTCAGATTGATGAAGGCCTGATATACAAAAAACAGTTGATAATAATTTCTTCATTTGTGTTGTTATAGTTTGATAGCTTCAATGTTCAATTTATCTACCTTTAAGTAATCTTTCATACTCTGTTTCAGTACTTACTGAACAATGAATATGGACTAAGTGTAGACAGAGAAGGTCAAAGTGTACTTCATCATGCTGCAATGAAAGGTAAGTTATCCAAAGAAAATAGAAAATTCTGCATTTTAAGGAAAAGACTTTTATATTCATTGCATTGATCAGTGCAAACTGATCTTACTTAGGATTGTTTAAAATGACTATAAGGTTGAAGGTAGTGTAGGAAACGAGAAGGCTGAGATGTAGGAAGGAATGTTTATGATTGTACACTTTCCACTAACGCAGTCATTTGCACAATGTGGTTAATTTTATCTTCTGCTTCTATCTTGATTTGCTTTTGTTACACCCACCTTTTGTCCTGCGATTCCCTGGGTAGAATCTTTACCCATTTCTGGTAACTCCCTATGATTTCAGCCGCCCTCTCAACATATACTACTTATATCCATTCTGATCAGCAGAGCCCGCTACAGTAGGTGTCCAATGATTAATTTAGAGAATGGCTGGATTATGAAGCGAACTACATCAACTCAGAAGTCCTGGTTAGACGATATTCATATCTTTGGCTAAACAGTAGAATGCCTAGTGTAGCCTTTGGATCTAATTCCATACTTAATCGCCACTTCAGATTTAAAGAAAGTTCGAGGATATTAAGAAATAGCTATTCTATAGTCTGCTATTTTTTATTCGTTCTTATAACGACTTCATACAGTGATAAAAACCATCTTCATTTTGGACTGTTTACTGAGCCTCAAAATTTACTCGATTCTTCAATTTTTCAAATATCTATGTGTATGAGATGAACATTGTCCTATTTCAAACATAATAAAGCATGCGGAACTACTGGAGGTAAGGAAACTTTGAAGGGATGTTTGAGTGGTTCACCCACTATTATTATTCTCTTTCTACTCCATTTTGTATGAGATGTTTAAATTCCACTTCTGGTGACAGGTATGACTTCAGTTGGTATATGTCTTAAAATCCGTCAATGGTTTTCCAAGGGATTTTAGTTCGTGATGAATATTATCTTAAAAGCGACAAGTCCCCACAAACTTTTAATTTGAATTACTATACACTGATCATTACTAACTTGTTAGCGAGGTGAGATTTCCCGAAAAAGTCGTGACCGATGGGGCGAAACTAAGTTGGACGTGAGGACAAATGCTCAATGATGACATTGGATAAAGGTCACGTTTTATCACGTATCAACAGTATTGGTCAAATGTGAACAATTGGATTCTGACTCAGTAGCTGAATGGTAAAGTACTTGCTGCAAAATTGGAGATTCTGGGTTCTGTTCCTGGTGGGGTCTTGGGTGAGCACTACTGAGGAGTCTCCTGCAAGGAGGAATCAGCTGTCCTGGGCCTCCAGGTTTTCAACAATTCTCCGTCACATGGCAGTCCATGATGAATACCAACTTAAAATTAACAAATCTCTATAAAACTTAAAAACCAAACACTATCTGTTGTATGAATTCAATGTTGCCTATTCTGATCGAGGTTATTTAATTATTAAATTCTGTAACTTATAAGAAAATGAGCGAAACCCTTCGCAACGTTCTTCATTGTCAAAGGTACCAACGGGATTTAAGTTTAGATTTGAAATCTTCAATTTCTTCTCAATCCAACTATTATTCAATAAGTGATCCTATCCCTACTGAAGAGAGAGTTCGAGTCCCAAGGCTTCATGATAAAAACGAAAAACGTTTTGTAATAGTTCAGCTGACTGCAATGATTGTTAAAGTCATACATGCAGTCTAAAACGAATTTATAAGACCTTCAGGATATATTCAACTGAAAGAGGATTTCAACCTATCTTACTTTATAGTCATTACTTACTCGGTAACATACTGAATTGTATGCAGTTACATGTTGCCTTTTACAGTTAAAGCCTTTTGCAGATAGTGAAAATACCGATAGAAATGAAGAAATCTCAATATGCATCGTGTGTTGTTTAGTCATACCAGTGAACCAAGTGTATCACGTTGCAATTCTTCTGTGTAAGAACCAAACAGCTGAAGCTAGAAAAATGAAAATAAAAGTACTAGAGTTCATGAAATTCATTGTTTGTAAAGTGATTTCGGCATTCTGATTAATTTTCGTTTAGAAAACATGGAGAAAGTATTATTCCACTGCACTTATATAAAACAGTCGTAACCAATATTCATAGTCATTGACCATTTCTTATTGTAGTAGAAAGTCAACCACTTCGCTAAGCATTCGAGATATCAAAACTGAATGAAATTTTTAAAACCGCTTTCATCGGAATGATAATTTTTTACTCCATCCCTTCTCAATACTTTCTACGGTTTTCGATTACATTTTTAAGTATAAGTCTGTTTCATTCTGGTAAGTTGTATCTATATGTGGTGGAGTGAGCTGTAGCAAGTTTTGTCAGATTCCACGTTTATATTGGTCGATTACATTCAATTGAAATGAAATAAGAATTAAGAACAGCCAGTTATCGATTGATTTTGTGTTTATTATTCAGAAGACTAACCCCTAAACGTTTTGTATCATTTTGCTGATTAAATATCACACAAATTCATATTTAATTACCGACTTATTCACTTCATTATCTATATAATACAAATCCTGTAAACACCATACGTAATAATTTCCACAAATCAGGAGACAATGCATCATACAGTACAAGTAGACTAAACACAATAGCTTAAATCCCGTTCATCAGTTCATTACTAAGAATTTATTAGACAACTGGCACCAGATTCGGTATACTCTTATGAAAGTATGTATCAAAAGAATAGCTAGAAGAACCTAAACCTTGACGTCAACTAAGCAATTTACATCATATCAAGAAATTTTATTCTGACTCAGTTATTTAGTTCAAGTATGTTTGGATGTTTATTTATTGATACTAGGTGATGATCGAAGGTGGGGTGAAAGTCTGGGCCACGCAGGATTCGAACCAATGACCTCAGTGTAAACGGCCTGTTACTCTACCAACTGAGCTAAGAGACCCAGCAATGCAGTTACTCGCTCCATATTCTTCTTACATCAAGGGATGCTATTCACTGTCATCAAATAGTCGTAACAATAGTGATCCCTCAGTATAGTGAAATACTGGGTTGTTTGCTATTTGAGTTGACTCCTAAATCAATATGTTTATCTGGTAACCATCGTCATTAAGAATTTATATGGAGTAGAATGTCAGCCGTTAACAGCAAAACTGAGTGTTCTCAATTATATTGCTTTCCGGTCAGTGTATGGTGATCATCACAAAGTAAAAGCTTTAATCCAGTCAATTGGCAAGTCAGCTAGACGGATGTTATATTAAACGAGGAAGATACTATTCAGTATTATATTGTCTGTTAAATGGTCTAATATGATACCAATAAGGCTTTTAACTAAGGTTTTTTGCTGGTTTGCCTTTATCTGAAGGGTTAGTCTGTGACATGAGAACAGCCGATACCTCTTTAGAAATCTTAAACTTTAATCCTCAGTATTTGGTTCACAAAGTTACGACTTGGCATAAAATGCACTACTCTTCTTTCAGCTGGTTCACGAAACTTTGTGAACAACTAGCAAAAATATCTGAAAGAATTCATCTAACATTTGGGATGTAATTTCGGTTACCGTCTTAGGAAGCAAAACAAAGTTGTAATAAAATCAACAGTAGTGTATTTCTCCTTTTTTTAAGTAAGAAATTGAAATGAAGCATATTTGACTTACTGGAGCTAAATGATCCATATGTTTATGAAACTCCTATCTTTAACTTACTTTACTGATAGATTAAAAGTTTGAGATCAAAAAACCTTTAGCAGGAAGTAAGACTACTTCAAACTTCTGTATTTAAGGGAAACACATTTACGGCGGGATTGAATCTGAGAAATCTTTGTGAATGAAATTGACTTCATGAACAGAAAAATTCATCGAATTATTACGATTTAATTATATTTTTCTGCGAAATGTGAGAAAAATTGCTCTAAAAATAACTATCATTCATAAATTAAAATTCAGTCTTTATTCTCTAATATGGTATAGATAAGTGAATATCTTATCATCTACAGATAAAAGTGCTGGAAAACTAATGAATCATATAGTGAACTGTGTAGAGATCAAAAGTAGATGCTCTATACTTTATTGTCATGCTTTCACATACAAAATAATTTACACTAATTGACTGTAACTTGTAGTCTAAGTAATGAATATGAAGTCTTCTTTGAAACTCTTATTAGGTGCAAGTTACTGTTGCTGTTGGATTTTTAGAAGTTAAACCCTTAACGAATCACTTTCAAACGACTTACATGAAGGCAAACAATATGTTTTATAGTTTACTGTCAGTATTTCGAACAACTGTCAACCGAGATGGGAGAAAGAACTACTTGAGGCGATTACTCTGCAAGTGAATATGATATAGTCAAGTTTACTAGTAAGAGCCCACTAGGAACAACCAACAGTGCTCCCAAATGAATTTGTTGTCAAGAGATATTTAAATGAACAAAGAATAGTTTTTGCAATAAATTCTTCTTCTTCTTCAGGTTCTAGAATTATATCTCTACATAGTTTAACTTAACCATGGCTATAAGATTTGAATTTTTAATGCTCTCAGTTACTTCTGAATGGTGTTAGACAGTGCTGTAATAAAAACTATTGACAACTCTGTATTAGGACACTTGTTTCAAGCGAACCATACGACGGATATTATTAAGTCATTTTCCATTATCTACCGGGTTCTTGCCATCTCACCAAAACTCACCTGGTTCTAAATCTTTCAAACTGTAGAAATACTTACTACCAATCCGGATCAAACAACGCTAGTTGTGTAATCAGAAAAAACGTATACTGGAGCTACAACTACCTTGGTCTCATTTGGGATTTGCGAACTTCTAGCCACCCTACTCCATGTTACTTAACTTTTAACTGACGCATTGTAGATATCTCTTCACTATATTCTAAAGTAATATTATTGCTTTCGCTTTACTTATTTTGTTGCCCAACATGAATATCATTTTGTACCTCCAATTAACGCATCATGCACACCCTCCAATTATTTTTATTAAATTATAAACTGTAGAATGTTGTTAACAACCTGTTATAGAAGATTCCACCATTGATGACGGAAAATTACACAGTGTAGACACCGAAGTTATTAGTAAGGAGATTCTTTCTGCTTTTATATGCTTTTTAAATTATGATGGGAATTTTCTATGGAGATGAATCTGTTTTCTTCTGAAATCTTCTCCAGTATAACAGGGGATTTATATAAAAATGAAGTCTGCTTCATCTAACATAAGACAGAATTGAAAGAGTATTCAAAGGAAAAGAATTGTTTATCACTTTATGTATTACGACCATTAAGCATGCTTTCTAGCCAGTCAAAATCAAATTTGTTGCATATGGAAGTGTTAACAATGTATCTCCTGTTAGTATTATTCCTAGCTCATCCCATCTTACTATGTATAATCTAATAAGTTAGACAACACCTTTGGTTCAGAAGCTTGATTTTTAGTCATTGGTGTCTAACCTATAAATGGGTTAGTTGCTTGGAAGAAAACGGTAAAAGTCCTGAGCTTATGTTTCGTGTTCTTTAACGCTCATCAGCAAGACGTACCTATAAATGTTTAAGGTAGAAATTTAAGTAACAATAAAGTTTTTATCATCATATAGCATTAGGTTATGACTAAGGTGACAGTGGAAACTCCATCTCAAACTCCACGATTGCGGATAACACTTCTGCTTGCAAAATGCTTAATAAAATAGTAATGAACTATCCTAATCTCAATCTAAGATGTCTCTAATGCTCATGTATTTCCAGGGTCTTTTCGGTGACTCATTCTTTGGGCAGCTTTTGATAACCAGATTAACCTCACGCTAATCTAGGAAACGAAGTACTGCCTTTTCGAGTAGATAAAAGCTGAAATTCTATAAATCTGATTGTTTAGATAGTACCTGATTCCAGTTTCATAATATGAAGAGTCAAGTAAAACTTTGGTGTTATTCGAAAAACGAAGTAAATTTTGTATTTTTTAACCTCAGTTGTAATAGCTTAATGCGTAGACTGTCAATATATTTTTTTAATCCGTTGTCTGTAGGCTTTCTGAATGCATGCAAAATTATCCTTCAGTCGAAATCGAACACTGTTTTATTAAATCAAACCGATAGAGAAAGTCGTACGCCTTTGCATTTGGCTACTATGAATGGACACGGAAATATTGTCAACTTATTATTGAGTCAAAAAGGTATAGTGAAAAACAAATAAAATGATTCACTGTTTGTCGACAATTTCTACACAGTTAATTAACCTTTCAGGTCTGATTTTGATATAAAGTTACTGAGGTCATTTTTAAGACTGGGCTTTAAAGATAAACGAGTTGTCAGTCAGTCAGATAGACAGACAGATAAAATCAATGTAGAACCTATCAAATAAGTGCATTGGTTCAATTCGCTGCACTTCACAGTAGTATACAAAGAACAGATAGATGAAAAAGGCTGATATCAAAGTAAACAAAGGTGAATCAGTAAATAGACAATTTGAAGATAACTGCTAGTGAAAATATTCAGGCTTCTGAAGGCTTCGCAGAATGAATGGATCTGCGCCACTGTGACCGATTTTCAGGCATATCGCCAAGAGTCCTTAACCGCTTCACATCTCCTCTCACCGCTCAGACAAACAGTAGGAGACTTTATTGATTGGTGCCAGATCTTGGTTTGGCCACCGGAAACGCTCATCTAATCTAGTCCAACTTCCCCAGGCATGGGACACCGTGGTAGACAGTGGCTCACGGTGGCATGCTCAGTACCCTTCCAAGTCATCTCAACTGACTAAGGTTCACAACCTCATCAATCAACTTACCTTTCTTACCTAGTATACTTCGCTTGACTTCAATATCAAAGTTGCAGTCGGTCGATTGTAAATAGCTCCTGAACTATTATGTCTTTCTTTATATAGTGTTTAACTCCTGAGACTAATCATTGCGGTTAATTCTTAGATGAATGAACCAACACATATTCAACTACTCGTACCAATAAGAAAAGAGGACAAATAAAAGTTATCTTAAATATAACTATCAACAATGAATTGTGTTTGAAGCATCATCTAGTAAATAGCACGATTTCAGTATCTGAAACATCCTGCAGACAAAATAGCATATAGTTATACTGCTCAGTGGTTTTTAACTCAAATATAAGATTCTATATTTACTGTAATCAACATGCATTGATATATACATTCAATAAAACCTTTTACTTCCAATCCCTGCAGTTTACACTTTTGTCAATCGATAAATATCTCAGTGATCAATGTGTTTTCTGAGCACTATTTTTGATGAAATTTGCATGAGTTATATATGACTTTTATGCGTAAAGAAACATATTAACACGTTGAATCATTGTTTAAATCACTAGTTTGATGCATTACTAAACATGTGAACGCAGTACGCATTCTGAAAACAAAAGTAATTGTCAATAGTGTATAACTGTGAACTGACAAACAATGACCCTCGATTTGTTTGATCACTTTAGGCATACATTTTAACGTTGTATATTTTCTTTACACTTCAGCTTAGACAAGCATTATTTATCAACCTCATGTCTTAGCTATAAATATTAATCAGTATTATTCAGAACTATATAAACTGAATTTTAATTTTTAACATACTGCTTAGTACTCAGTTAAAAAGTTTGTTGAATAAATAACGGTGAAGAATGAAAACCATCTTTAATTTATTAAATTTTTCACAAATTATCAAAGAAAGAAAAATAATCTTTGTTGCAATACTTATTAGTGACTGAAGTTAAAAACTACGTTTTAATATATTTTGAGGATTAAAAGTAAATTTCTGTTAGTTAAATATGAGACATGTTAGTGTGATAGTTTATAGGTTTCAAGACAAGGTTTGTATAATGGTAAAAATAGATGTAAAGCAGTTCCTATAGATCTAGTTGACAGAACAGCATTCTAGGGTTCGTTAACGTCCTACAGGACAGATAAAATGAATAACTTGTTCTTGATTGCTAGATGTTTACTTAAAAGTATATCTCAGGTATTGTGTAATAATGGATGAAAGAATGAATAGTTGTGACTAACAGGAAATGAAGTTTCAGCTTCCATGCACATTTTAAGCTTTACTATATCAGATGATGACAAACTAGTGTTATATAAAACTGTAAACGCTGATTTATATTCATTATGTAAATGTGACTAATCTATATCAGTATTAGGCTGATCAGTTGACCACCAACACCTACTTTTAACAAAAAAATCTGACTTATCTGGTTAGCGTATGATGACAATATGTTACAAAACTAAGTTCTAATTATTGTACTGGATGGTATTTCGCAACAATTTATTATTATTATTACTAGTCCCTTGGGTTCCTAGTGGAACATAGGGCTTCAGTAGCACGCCTCCAGTGACCTCTGTTCTCTGAGATCTTTTGAACCTGGTTCCACGACAGCTCAGAAGCTCTCATTTCCTCTTCGCACGATCTCCTCCATGTCACCCTCGGACGTCCAACTCGTCGCTTCCCATGTGGATTCCACTCGAGCAACTGGCCTGACGTGTGATGTCCTCAGTTGGCCTTCTCAGTGCATGGCCAATCCATCTCCACTTCCTCCTGCATATTTGTTGGGTGATAGGTTGTTGGTTGGTTCGTTACCAGCCAGAGCTCCTTGTTGCTTATTCTTTCTGGCCATCTAATCTTCAGTAGCGAGCGTAAGCAGTTGTTGATGAATGTCTGTAGTTTGTTGGAAATCCCTTTCGTGACGCGCCAAGTCTCTGAACCATACAGAAGCACTGACTTGACGTTGGTGTTGAAAATCCGTATCTTGTTCCGCATGCTGAGTGCAGAAGATCTCCACACTGGATTTCGCAACAATATTTGAAATCATTTAAGATTATTGAACAATAAATCTTAAAATTTTCTCAAAAACTAATTTCTTATTTTGCTCATCACCTATTTTTAATATTTACCTTTTATTTTATTGATATAAAGCAAATCCACATTTATGTGATAAAGAAAATTATACATCTTATCAGTATGCAAATAGTAAACATTTACACTTTTGTTTACTAATATATGAACGCTATAATATTAAAGAGAAGCAAACAAGAAAACCAGAAATGAATGAAAGTCAACTAAATGAACTCATGACATTTCGACCAGTAAATCCACAGTTTTGTCACTATCAGGTATTCAGGAAAATAATTTTTTCTGTATATTGTTAGAGTGATTTGTTATTACAAGAAACGATTGTCTATTTCATAACTTATAGCTCTTAAGTTGAATAGACAACAAGCAGTATTATACTGCATACTAACTACCAACTGTTTAGTGTATGTAATTCAGTTTTTGATGTTCATTTTCAGTTTAGTATTATTCATTGTTCCTTAATAACTGAACAACTTCGATTCGGATCCAATACAGAATGTATGTTTCGGAATGATTAGTTATGCACTTTCTTGAGCCTTATTATTACGCAAAATATCAATGAGTTTAAGTCTTCAGTTGACTGTTTGGCTTTACTTTGTAAAGCAAACTCTATGATGAATATTCTACAAAAATGAGCTATTGAGAACTATATGTACCAAAACGAAGTGCTTGATTTACATTTTCAGCAATGATTAGCATCAGGCTTATTTTACCCCTCAATGAATTAGTTGTAGAGTGAATAAACTAACCCAGTAGATGACTTTTAGGAAATGACTGATCTAAAAGTAACCTACAAATTAATTTATTTCCAAGTACTCACTAGTGACTTGCTTCGAGATGGGTTTCTATAAGTTCTAATGACCTATGAAGTCAAACAAGTTGGGAATTGAAGCGGATGCCCACTGACAACATTGGATGATTGTTGTACTGCATAAAAAATTGATAGAAGTAGAAAAATATCCACCATTAGGTTGTAACTCTATTACTGAGATCCAACACACTTGCTCTGAGACTTGGTGTTCCACACCCCAATCCCTTGCGGGATCATGGGTGTACACTTCTGAAGAGCACATGGTAGGACGAAACAGTTTTCCAGTGGTTCCAAGATTTTAATACTTTTCTAAATAGTGTTGCTTAATAATAAAAACAACCTTCGAATAAGTTAATTCACTTTAATCAAACAGTAGCAATGAATTGGAAATCATTAACTTTTCTTCAATACCCTTAATCTTGAGCAGTCTCTAGTATGGAAGGCGAATTTAGTAGACAAACTTGGATCTGTAACTGTATTACTAAAAAAAAACTATTTCCGTCCAATATCTGTGCAAATCGAATCAAATCATCTGTTAAGTAAAGAATATGTTTTATTTATTGAAACAAAACTGAAAAAATCTCATAAAAGACGCAAAATAAGCTAACTGTGGGTATTAAAATAACTGAAAGTTCATCTGAGGTCAAAATTATTATTAGGCAAACATTCATTAAGAAAGTCGATTATATTACATAAATTAAGAACAGAGTTTAAATAAAATCCATTGCTTGATATGTTTTAGCTAACTGTAACCAATAAAACATAAGATTACCTCAATGTGTTGTGCAATAATGGTCACGAAAGTTTGTTCAGTATATTAAAAGTTTATAAACGTTTTTAAAAAATGTATTCGTTATTGTATGCACTTAGGAACAATTAAAAAAAACTGAATATTTGGTTTTAACGTTAGCTATTATGGCATGTTCAGCAATATTCGCCAATTCGAGTTATCATGTGACGGTCCACACTTGATACATACATGTTCCAATGATAAGGAATACTGATATTTTTATTTGAATGAGCAAATTTGGTTGGTTTTTGTATAGTCATCCTAGTTATGAACTTTACTCCCTTCTCAATCAGTTATTTCTCTTCTGTTTCTTTCTCTACATTCATTTTAAAGGATTTCAATCTAAATACATATCGTGATAGTGATAGTCAAACCAAAAGTCCATCACCACGAATATTTAATAACTGTTTAGTTAAGCAACAAAATAATGAGACAAAAATGGATGAAAATATTAAACAAAAGTTGAAGTTATCTTCATTGTTGAAAAATTCAAAAAGAAAACAAAAAGTACTTCGTTCGTTGAATGATAATACATTGGATAAAGATAGTGATACTACTAATAATAATGACAGTAGCAATCTCAGTGTTGGCGAAAGTTTTCGACTTACTGTGAAACAGTCCTCTTCCTCATCGAGATTTGCTCAAAAAGTAAGCTGACTATGAGATAAAAGCTCTTTGCATTCTTGAATAGGTTACTCATTCGAAAGTTATTAAAAGCTACTTGGGTAAATATATCGTAAAATTAGTATGAAGGATGATGAGGAAACTCATAGTTAAGTATTTTTTTGAGGGGGCATACCATAAGATATCTTCAAAAATGTTTTGGCATATGAAAATGTTTGAAATACAGTGTGGACTTCAATTTCTTAAGCTTCATCCTCTCCTAACCTAATGTTCACATTACAAAATGATCGATAGAATTTGATCAGCACTGAGCACCATACAACGTGAAGTTGGTTACCCTCCGGTAACTGATCCATTCACCTAACCAGTCCTGTAGGAGGTCACTTGTGACTCGAATAGCTTAGTGGTAACATATTTGACTGAAGCACTGGGTGATGTGGGTTCAATTCTCAGGCAGGATATCAGTCCCGTCAAGGTTGCAGATATGACTCGCTGACAAGTGCCAAGAAGCACGACACCTAGGTTCAAAGCTTTCTGCTGATTACCTCCATCCAACTAACAGGATAGAAATTGTATATTTCACTTAAATGCTCAGTAGGATAATCCACATTTCATGTTGAAGGAAACAGTTAGTTTGGATTTTTTTTTTCTTCCAAAATTCTCTGGTAACCGGATTACGGTTTACTCTTGTTTGGTACTAACTATTAACAGGTAATGTATGTCACTTCAGGAAGAATCGTAGTACTTTTGACATCTCCCAACACGTCTTCAGTGTTGGATAACATTATTATATTATAGGCTTGAGGATCATAGTCTGACCTGGAAGTCGAATAAGTTGAGAGTTGTGTAAATGGATTCTCGGAGAAATATATTTGTAAAATCCCAATGAGATAAAAAACATTAATTTTTTACCTTTTGTGACCTCGTGAAGGTCGCTTCTTCGCAGAAACTTTATTCGGTGAATTAAAGTTACAGTTTAGTGTCTTTCATTCCCCAGCAAACGTGAATAAGCAGTTTAGTAGTTTATACAACTAGCTGTATCGGAAGCAGAATTTCATAATACATTGCAGGTTTCAGCTTTTTCATCTGAGCCAAGAACTACCAGAAACAAGCTGTTTGCCTTGTAAGTATTCGTGGGTCAGTCATTCCAATATGCGTCTTCTTCTTCATGCATTTTTTTAGTGGTTAGTAGAGGAATTCAGGAGACATGTTTAGGCCCGTTCAGAACTTATCCGCATCTGCAGACTAGCGTGTTTTTTATTCGATTAGGACTAAAACCCATCATTTGTCACACCAAATACTAACTTATCTAAAGAACTACTGAAATATAACAGTCGCATTCTGTCTAGTCCACATCAACTCTACATTGGACGTGGTATGGTTTCCAGAGAAGTAAGCAATGTAATGGACGCATTCCAGGTCAAACCCTTCAGCTTCGTCATATCTCTAGTGACCATTCCTCGTAGCCGTAGAGTATGACAGACGTGAATGCCCTTGGGCGCTAAACAAGAGCTGAATATGCTGACAACTACTGACTGATTCATACTTATAAAACAACAACTGAACAGCTTAAATAATCCAATGATAAATCTCTTTAGCCTCATATGGCGGACGAAATTAATTTTTAAGGCATGTGCAACTAAATGTAATAGCATGTAGGCTATGCATATCTTTAAGAACCAGTTATGACGCACAGATGTTCAAATTAAAGCATATTTAATTAAGGTAAATTCATCTCCCTATGTTTAGCAGAAATGCAGCTGCAATCTAGTATTACGGCATTTTTCAACTTAAAGTTATGCCTATTAGTATAAATCTACTAGGATCAATTCATGGTTAAAGATCTAACGGATTTTACTTAATAGTCCAGAAATCGAACCATTGAAAGTGAATTAAAAACGTATTGCTTGAAAAAATGCCTTCCCCACCTTTCCTTTATCTTTAATTTTAGAGTCAGCCTATTGAGATTATCACTGTAAATAAAACAGAAAGACAATACTCGAAGCCAAGAAGTAATTTACAGATTAAACCAGAGCTTTTACCTACGGACAAAAGAGTTCATCGACTTCGTAATCCAGTCGTACTGAATAAACAAATCTGTCAACCAACTGACACATTTAAGAATTCATCAGTGAAACTAGGAAATTCTACTCTATTATCACCATCTAGACATTTTGATATACATCACAAACAAAATAAAATTGGTGATGAAACCTTGAGAAATGGACAACAATATGTTATTTCTAATGGTGACTTCAATAGTAGCTATCGAAAAAGCCAGCAGAAAAGGCCATATCTGTACTCTAAAACAGAGCCTATGAAAGGTAGTTAAAATTAGCAGAATTTTTAAATTCTATGCAGTATATCTTTAATACAGAAGATATTTCAAACGAATGCTTTTGTGTAGCAATTTTCGCTGTTTGTACACAGCAAAACATCATACAATATTTACATATATATGCTGTTGTTTCAGGTGAGAATAGTTTGGTTGTGGAGTACCACTGAAAAATCAGTAAGTTCTCGGTTTTACGTCACTGAAATATAAGTTAAAGTATTTCCAATCCGAACCTCGCCAAGTTAACTAGTTCACTAGTTACTAGCAAGTAATATCCCGGATACAGAAGGGAGGTTGGGCATAGGGCTACCAAACCTACCTCGTGAAACAAATCAAATTGCTAAAGAAACTACAACACACAAAAAACAATAAAACAAACTTATTCCTCGCTGCAATCGGAGAGACGAAATGACGACGGTTGATGAAAGCCTTCAGGAAGCCAATCAACCGATGTTTCTCCTCTCCCTCGATGAAAGCGAAAGTAAGAATGGGAACATGGAATGTCCACACTATGTTTGAACCTACAAAGGCTGCCCACATTGCAAACGAGATGAGAAGGTATCACATTGAAGTGGTAGGAATCTGCGAAAGCAGGTGGAATCGAAGTGGACTCTCCAAACTTTCAACTGGAGAATCAATGATCCACTTCGATACTGTCACCCACACGACAACCACGAACACACTGAGTTTTCGAGTGGCTATCATGATGTCACCTTGAAAAGCGTCGAGGGCTCTCTGTTGTGCAGTGAGAACCAATCTCCTCCACAATCAGGATCATGACAGTGAGGTTCAAGTCAGAAGGACGGAAAGTCACAATCATACAATGCTAGGCTGTGCACCTACAAATAATAAGGCAGATGAAGAGAAGAAGGAGGAATTGTACAGACAAGTGGAATCAGTACTGGAGAAGACCCCAGTCGAGTTGGCGACATGAGAATTCTAATGGGTGTGGCGACATGAATGCCAAACTGGGAGGGGACAACACAGGAAGAGAACCAATCACGGGTTGAGAAGCACTCAGTGAAATGAACGAGAATGGAGAACTGTTTGCAGACTATTGTGCATTCAATGATCTGGTGATTGGAGACAGTGTGTACAAGCACAAAAACATTGACAAAGCGACATGGATTTGATTTTATCAGATGGACATACTACACAAAATCAGATCGACTTAGTTTCCATGTGAAGAAAGTGGAGACGCAGCCTACTGGACACAATATCAGATCAGGAGGGGGAGCAGATGTAGGTGGTTCACACCACTCACTATGTGGTGCAAGGAGACTTCGAAATCAAGTTGAAAGGCTTCAATTCGAAGAAGTTGGTGATAGACCACATCTGAAGTTCAACACCTAGGACAGAAACTAAAGGGGGATAAAACAAGAGACATCTACACGTTAGCCATGAGGACAAAACGGGAGGCACTAGGCAACATCCCTGAGGACACCTGTGTGGATGAACACTGGAACTCTTTGAAAGCTATGTTGAAGGAAGCCTGCATACCCGTGTTAGGAAGAAAGAGAAAGAGATGAGACAAGGAATGGAACTCGACGGATACATGGGAGGTGATAGGGGAGGGATGGGAAGATGGTGATGGTGAAGCGGAAGATGAAGCATTTCAGTGCAGTGTGGAGATGAACAACGAAAAGAGGAACTGAACACAACCTGTAAAACACTGCACTGGAGAGTGGAGTGAAGAAGAGTGCACGGAAAGACAAAAGACACTTCCACGACACACTGGGAACTGAAGCAGAACATGCTGCAGGTAGGAGAGACCTGACAATATTTTATCTAATAACCAGGTTACTTGATGTCTGAGAAGAGATCAATACAAATGAAACCAATGAAAGATGGTGAAAGAAATTTAATTACGAAAGAAGAGAAACAAAGGAAACGATGGGCTGATCACTTCAGAAAACTCCTCAATCGACCACCACCTGCAACGTGTCCAGAAATACCACCAGCAGCCCAGTCACAGAATTACCAGTGAACACCAAGCCCGCCAACAACAGCCGAAGTGAAGTTCTGAACACCATAAAGCTTCTGAAATGAGGGGAAGCAGCACAACCAGATGGAATTCCTCCTGAAGCTCTGAAAACTGAAGCAGAGACAAGAGTGGACATGCTCACACCACTAATGCAGAAGGTGTGGAAGGAAGGAAAGGTGCCCACCGATTGATTGGAAGAAGGGCTTCCTTGCAAAAACTCCAAAGAACTGGTGCGGAATCATGCTCCACTTCTGTCCACACCAAGCAAGCAAACTACTAAGCCGCATCATCCTGGAGAGACTAAAGGATGCGCTGGATTCAAAACTACGACCGGAACAGGTTGACTGGATTCAGGAAGAACAAATCATGTGTGGATCAAATTGCAACGCTCTGCATCAGCATAAAACAGAGTGTAGAATGGCAGTCAGATGGATATTTAACTCAACTTCATCGACTTTGTAAAAGCCTTCTATCGAGACGTCGACCGAGAAGTAATTTGGCAGCGGCTGCTTCAACACTCCGGTTTAGTGCCACAAACATTTATCAACCTGATTCAATAACTATATGATGACGCTGCATATCAAGTGATTCAAAATGGAAAGCTCAGTTATGCCTTTGAAGTGAAGACACGAGTACAACGAGGCTGCCTCCTACTATCACCCATGATCTTCCTGATTGTGGTCGACTGGATCATGCAGCAGACTACTGTGAGGAGCTGTGAGAAGATGGACATACGCTGGACCAATGAAAAGAGCCTATAAGAAATGGATTTCGCCAACGATGATGATTTGTGTCTAATGTCTTATGTTGCACAGGCTTGAAGATCTCCGAGTGAAAACCAACAATTTGACAGAAGAGGAATCGAAGGAAGTCGGGACTTCAAGTAAATGTAGAGAAGACAGAGAGAATGAAGATACCCAACTATCATCACCACCAACAACAACACGCACCAATCACCATCAACGAGAGAAACCTAAAGTAAGTAGTCTCTTTCACTTACCACCTAGGCAGCATCGTTTCAACTAATGGTGGTGGCACAGATGAGTACGTCAAAGCCAGGATCGGAAAGACAGCAAGATAAGCGTTCATTAACCTGAAACCAGTGTGGAGATCTACTGCAATGCACTCAGCATAAAGCATAAACAAGATCCTGATTTTCAACACCATTGTCAGTCGAGTCAGTGCTTCTATGTGATGGTTGAGAAACTTAGCGTGTCATGAAAAGCATTTCCAACAAACTACACATATACATTGTCGACAGCTGCCGCCTACTCTGGTTCCATACTGAAGATCATATAGATGGCGAGAATAATGAGAATAAGCAAGGAGGAACTGTGTCTGGCTGACTGACTGGCTGTCTGGCTAGCTAGCTGGCTGGCTGGCTGGCTGGCTGGCTGGCTGGCTGGCTGGCTGGCTGGCTGGCTGGCTGGCTGGCTGGCTGGCTGGCTGGCTGGCTGGCTGGCTGGCTGGCTGGCTGGCTGGCTGGCTGGCTGGCTGGCTGGCTGGCTGGCTGGCAGGCAAACAACCAACCAACCAAGAACCTTTCACTCAACAAATATGCAGAAGGAAGTGGAGATTAATTGGGCATGCACTGAGAAGGCTGATTGGGGACATCATACACCAGGCCAGACCGTCGACTGGAGTCGAAATGGGCAACGACGATTTGTGTGTCTGAGGCGAGGTTGACATGGATGAGATGATGTGAGGAAGAAATAGGAGCTTGTGAGCATTCGTGGAACCAGGTTGAGAAGACTGTAGAGAAGAGAGTGAAATGTAGACGTGCTACTGATTCCCTATATTCCACTGGGAACCCAAGGGACAAATAAGAATAATAATTTCCAGCCCTTATTACGATACCTACTGATGCTGCAATAACTTTTGATATCCTTAAAATAAGTGTTAACATTTGAATACAAGCAACATTTAAATGAACAGATTTTTTCATTCAGATAACATTTCGTGGTTGGTATATCAGCTTTTTATCACCACTGCCAATAATATCCCAGTAATAATGTGATGTTTTTTGAAAGGAGAAACACTTTCGTAGGTGTAAGAAAACGGCTTTAACTAAATGTAATTATACAAAGCAAAACGTTTTGAGAATACGACTTGGTAAATTGGTTTCAATGAAATGATCGTCACTAATAGGCATTCAGCTAAGAAACACTGATCCCTGAGAACATAGGACAGCTTTTTGGCACCAATTTATGACTAATCAGAAGTGTCTACTTAAGTCCTCAAATAAGTCATTCTCAGGACCATCAGCTCCTCAGTCAGAAACCAGTAAATCATGCCCTACAACTTCTTTGGTGATATCAGTGACGGTGAATTTTATCAAGGTGAGAATAAAATTATATATGGAATAGGATGAATCACGAAGCGAAAATAAAAATATTATCTTATGTTGTGGAAGCGTATGAATAAAATTTCAGTTTAATAAGATATGGAGTTGAAAGCATAGTAATTGTCTTTGCTCAAGTTATTGGAACAGATTGTTTGTTTAAACTTTGAAGTGAGTTGCGAAAAAATTAAAATAAGGATAAGATCTACATCATAGCAGGAGGGAATAATCAGTAACTTTTCATAGGGGATGTACACGAGATCGAACGTCAAACAACACGACTCAGACAAATTGAATCTTCTTATTTCGTCGCAGAAATTTGTAAGAAAAAAATATGTCGTTCTCAACTAATCAGTGTGTCAAATGTCATGTCCAGAAAACGTGACATAGTTTACGGTCCAAGCGCAAAAAACTAGGACAAAGCTAAGTTATTAATTGGTTAGTTATGAAAACAAATTAGATCAAACTTAATTGGTAGTCAATGTCTAAGCAATGCACAACGATGTTAAGATTCTTTGGAGCTACTTAAAAAGCCACACTAGCAACTGTTGAGACAACCAATTAGACTGCCATATTTTATGAAAAACTACCTTTCTAGCCGGAATACTGAAACCTGATTGGTTATTCCCACAGTTGTTAGGGTGGCCTTTGAAGTCGCCCGGTTTTTCGCCTTGTTGTTTTTAAAGTTTTACTTTTCTTGCAAGTAACAGCAATTATTATGCTTTCGAAGTCGTAAATTTTGACGCGTTATAAAACAGTCTTATAAATTTATTTACTTTCATGGATATATATGAGTTGACGAATGCAATCGCATGCAAAGGCGAATGACTTTTTGTCAGTCTTCAACTGGTATAATCGGAAATGTTGATGTCAGATGTGTAGCTCATTTACTCTGGCACTAGAATGCAACCACAAGGTCATGGTTTGAATCTCGCTTTACACTTAGGTTTTGAGTAAATACCAAGTATTCCTCAGAACCCAAACAACCAGTATGGCCGTCACTTCGAGCAAGAACCTTCATATAATTTCAGAGTCACTGCATTTGTTATTTACTGGTTGTTTGGTAGGGATTGAAAATGGTAAAAGTAATGAGCAAATAAGAATTTCAATAATCCTAATTCGGTAGCGTATCTACTTTATCCGACCATAATATATTTCTACAAAAAGATTGGTCAGTTTACAAACCAATTATTTTTAATAAGTAGTCAAGAGATAACTAACTTCAGTGCCTTGCTTCTTACATTCGAATATTTTGCAGACATTGTTTCTAAATCAAGAACCAGTGATAACTCCTCTATTTCTGATATAAATTCAATTCCTGAAACTGACAGACCTCTTATGCCAACTCCATGTAAAATACCTTCATCACATGGACCAATTATAAATAACTCAACTTTTGAACGTCATTCAAGACTTCTTAAACGTCGTCAAGTAAACAGTTTACCACAACAGATTTCCTTGTAAGTTAATTCATGCAAAATATGATTTTACTTTTTCCAGTAGTAGATGATCACTCCTCACAGACATAAAATAGGTGGTAAAATTCTTCATCCTATACAGCAGCAGAGATATTTATTTCCTACTCCTAACACTGAAATTAACAACCGTAAAGTAAGCTCTTTTAATTATTGTCACTATAGAGAACTTGAATAACTCGTGAAAAGCTTACTTGGAAGTGAATTCTTGGTGAACAGTACAATGCAATTGCAGATTTTTTTTTTTATCACAGTTGGCTATGAAATATTTTAACTTCTGATGTAAAAATATAGAGTGGGCAATGTCTAAATTAATTTTAAAGTGATAACCAAGAAAGTTAAGTTTGTCAACGAATTTATTAACCGTAATTGACTAAATCAGCATTGGTGTCTATTATTCACTTCCAGACACCACCTAACCTGCAGAGATTTTTATGAGATTCAATATTAAGTTAAGAGAAATTTATAGGTTAGTCCGTCAGAATATTTTACCAATGCAAAGAATCTTTAAATATTGTATGGAATTGTAATGATGGATAGTGGCTAGCAGTGGAATCCAGTACACACATTTCGTCCTATTTTGGACTCGTCAGCTGGATGTGTTATTTAGAGATGTGTAATCTACCTAGTTAGAGATTTTGAGTGGTTAGAGACTGTTGAAATGAATGAAACTTAATCACAGTACAACTAGTGTGCTTATTAATATCGTTAAAGTCGCGAATATTTTACTGCTCCTTACTTACGTAGGCTTCACTAACATTCAGTTATTCATTCTTCCAACTTCTTTTAACCCTTTTTATGTTGTTTTTCTTTTATTTCTGTTAATCTTCCCTTGCTGCACCTTTCAAAGGCTGATAACTTAGACTGTTGGCGTGTTCTCAGGCTTAGTGTCGACCTGCACATCCATATTTCTGTCTAAATTCAACTGTATGATATCTAAGTCATAAAAATATGTTGACACTAAAGTGGTGATTACTGGAGCCTAGTCAAAGTGACGACGAAAGCTCTCAAAGTTCAGAATAAAATACTGAGGATCTTTTTAATCTAATCATTACTATAAACAAAGATAATAACTGAAATGATAGTTATAATAATTACAACCTCTAAACTTAACATTTCAGTAGAGGAAAATTATCAGCTCAACAGCAAGTAAAAATCAATAAGGGCAAGCCAAGTAATCCACAAATAAAATCACATTTTAAAGGTTACTCCTGAAATGAGTAAACTGGTACAAAAGATTATAACTCATACTAAATACACTGAAAATTGTCAGTAGAGTCAATATGAATAGGTGAGCTCTGAGGGTTTATATGACTGGAAGTTAACACAAACAAGATAGATGGATATAAAATATTCACTGATTTTAAGTTGCTATAAAAGGTTTTACTATTCCATTAGCAGCATACTCACTTACAGTAGATACAGAGTCATGGGGGTGACAAGTAGTGTTATTATAATGCATTATGCAAGTTTAAAGAAAATTTCAACGAGTTATGTTTTAGGCTTCAAAGGTTCTATGAAGCAATGCAGTTTATCTCATCATCATCAATGACACTGTGGTATGCTTGACTCAATACTCAGAAGAAGTTTGTTTATACTGGTATGTATTTATTAATTTTTAGTTTATCTTACTGACAATGAATTTGACAGGTATTTTTTTTCATTTCTTGAGGGACCAATCAAAATTTATTCATTACCTACTAGTCTATTATTCTTTTACCCAATATATATATATATATATATATATATATTGCTCAAAACAGACGGACCTTGTAAAATGACTCAAAGTTTCTTTACTTTAAAACATTTTTTAAAATTTTGTTCTTAAATCATTTAAAACGTACATGATATTTGTATTGATTGGTCACGGGAATGCAACCAATTTCATGTTGTCTAGTCCTGAGTGCAGACCAAATTCTACCGATCATATTTGCAATGTGGCAACCAAGCTAGGAAGCTCAGCATCGCAGTGCACATTAGTAGATGTTAGTTCGCTGAAGGTAATCGGCAGGAAGCTCTGGACCTAACTTTCGTGCTTTTTGGCACTCGTTAGCGAGACATATCTGCAACCTCGGCAGAATAATGTCTCGCCCAGGATTCGAACCCGCGTCACTCAGTGTTGTAGTCAGCGACTTTACGACTGACCTCCTGAAGGACTGGGTTACGTGTATTGATAAGTCACGGGAGTGCAAAAATTTCATATTGTCTATTCCTGAGTGAGAACGAATCCTGTCGATCAGGAGGTCAACCACGTGGTCACGGACTACAACAATGGGTGACGGGGGGTTTGAATCTCAAATGGGGACATCAGTTTTGTCAAGGTTGCAGATACGCTTTGCTTACGAGTATGAAAGAGCACAAAACCTAGATCTAGGGTTTCCTGCCAAGTGCCTCCAAAAAACTAATACATGATATTTTTATTATGTTAGCTATAATGAGCTAAAATGTTTTCTGATTATATTTTGTTTGTTTACATTTTTCTTTTACAAAACATCAGAAGTAATAGCAGTATAAATTCTAGTAGTGAATCTGCTAACAGTTCATCAGAAAACCATGATGAAATGATACCATTAAATTTGAACAAATCTATAAAACAAAGTACACGTTTCCCTTGCCCAAACAAAAGTTCAACGTGTAATCTACTGTCTCCATCTCTTAGTCAAATTCCCTATCAAGATGTTAAATTCAATGAAAATAATTACCTGTTGAAAAAGTGATTTTTTATAAACAAGCATTCTTAGTTGATTTTATACTGTGTAAAAATTCCGAAGCATGATTTAATGGTTTGTTAACTCATGGTGAACTCAAACACATGATTACTATTTAAAAATGTAATAGGTTTATGTTATGAACACAGTCATTTAAGAAAAATATATGTTTTCAACATTCAATTTTCCTATCCGGATTATTTAGGTAAGTGTAGCATTCATCATAATTTTTATAGAATCTTTTACCATCCTCAACGCTCACCTAACTACAGAAATCAAGATACCTCAGTTGAAGTTATTTAAACACACAGATTATAATTAATTATCATTAGAAAGATTTTGAAAAACTATTGTCTAATTACAAATGGTTGAAATTATCTAATACTTGTAAATTTTGTAGTCTCATAAACACCTACATAAAAATGAAACTAACTATACTTTTTTAAAAAAAAAAAACCTTCTATTGTATAATGATTGTGTGGTGTGATTCTTCAAAATTCCTCACTAATATCATTAATGTGCACAAAATAACTATGTTCAATGTTCAACGTTGGATATTTCACTTTCCTTTTTCTTATCATTTAATTATGGTTATGTGTAGAGAGCTTATCATATTCTTTTGATAAACTCCTAGGAAATTGTAAACATTGTTATACAACTAATTATATAATGTTCTCCTTTAATTTCCGATGTAATTTTATTATCATGGAATCCAAACATTTTACATACAAAATACAATGGTTTCAGTAGATTGTTTGTGTTTGTTCTTCATATGAGAAATTTGCTGTATTTATTGTAAACATAAAAGTTCATTCCTATTTAAAGATGAAAGATTAAGTCAATTGTTTTCAAAATGATTACATTGCAACTTGAACAAAAACCATATCGTATCACTTTACATCATTATTTGTTACGGAAGTCATCTTGATAGTATTCACTAGGAAGTAATGTAAAAAAATTTTATAAGTCATACTTTTTAATATTTCAATAGTTGTATGAAGTTATTTTACTCTATGGTATAGAAAAAATATCTACTACAGATGGTTAGGTATAAAGTTTGAATAAAGTGAGGGGGATGTAGGAGTGTGCGCGAACATTTTTGAGTAGAAAGTCTTATGAGAAGCTGTAGTTATATCACTATAAATATTCGTTTAGTGTTATTGCTTGTATTACACCGTCGTTGATTGGACCGAATTGATCAGTCTCTGTTGGCATATGGGCTCGTATGCGGATGCCTTGATATTGCCTGTCTTTTAACTATGTTTAGTAATGATGGGCAGTGGCTAGCAGTGGAATCCAGGATGCGCATTTCGTCCTATTTGGGACTCGTCAGCCGGATGTACCTGCTTCCCAGTGAGTGATGTTGTTCCCACCGGGTGTAGTGGATAACGCGCTGGCGTTTGAAGCGATCGCTCCAGAGTCCCGGTGGGAACAACATCAATCACTGAAAAGCAGGTACATCCAGCTGACGAGTCCCAAATAGGACGAAATGCGCATCCTGGATTCCACTGCTAGCCACTGCCCATCATTACTATAAATATTCGTTGTGAAGTTAGATGAAGAAATGCTACTCATATTCATGCTCTTTTAAAAACTAGTCCATGGATTCCAATGATTTAGTCTTTTAGCTTTAGAGATAACGCAGTCGATAAACAATGGTAAAACTGTGTTTTTTAATAAAACTGATAAAATTACAAACTTACCTACAAAACAAATGTTAGTTACCAACTTTATCTCATACTTAGCTCCAACAGTAAATCAGTTCAAATTGAGAAAATCTTCTAACTTTTTCAGTAGGATTCTAAGGATACAGAGTCTTAATAAATGTCCACTTCTCAGTTATGCAAACTGTGAGCTGATACATACAAAAGTTACACTGATATAACAAGTCCCAAATCTCACTCACATATGCTGCGCCCAGAAATCAACAACCACAGTTAGCCATGTAGACCAGTTTGTTGATGATTCCTTTCCTAGGAACGAATGTTAATATGCATTACACAACCTAAATCGTGGTCCACACAAAAATGATTACAAAGTAATTTATGTCAACTATGATCAAGATTCGACCGAATAGTATCGCAAATATTCGGCGCTGAGTAAAAAGATGACATTAGATAGAATTTGAATTTGTGTAGGTTACACTGTGCCTGAAATGGAATAATTCCAGAAGAAAAACAAAGCAGCATAAAGAGAGACCAAATCTTTCTTGAAGCTGCCGACGAATGGAGCAGTAGCAGTCATATCTGGCAATGCTTTTCAGCGGCCGCAAACTCTCAGAGAGAAAAACAGTGAATGGTCGCGGGTTTTCCTTCTTCGGTGGGCGATTCTCCTTGGGTGACAGTGAGGATCACCACGGTGACTGTTTGGTAGGACACGACCGTTCAAATTATTCAGCTTACTCGGCACTTTGTAGGCTGTTATCAAGTCGCCGCATAGCCTGCGGTAGCCAAGACAGGAAACCATCAGGTCTTTCAGCCTGTCCTAATTGGGCCTTTGCCTTATTTCCACAACACTTTGTTGCTCACCTCCGGACTTTCTCCAGGAGGTTCGCATCTCCATTCAGGAATGGTGGTGCAGTGACATTGCCGACCTCCAAGTGAGGTCGTATTTAAGCCCTGTGTAGCTTCAGAGAGTTCTGGAGTGACGGAACCTGGTCACCTATACCTGAAGTGCAGCACTACACAGGATGTGGATAGTTGCAGCTGGTGACTAGCTTGTTAGTTAGCATTAGTTCTAGATATTTCTCCGTTGCGGCTAGGGAAAGTTGTTTTCCACAGAGGGAATAGGATACTTTTCGCTAGTCACGAGTGCTGAGTAACATGGTTCAGCACTTATCCGAGTTAAATGCTAGTCCGTCATTGTTCGATCATTCTGCAAGCGATCTGAGATCTCTTTCTAGTGCACTTCATCCTGAGACGGGGGTCACAGCTCTGCACAACTTAGCATTCTTGACACTAGTTATAATCGAGCAGCTGAGACTCAATAGGAGGTCATTCACAGATGAACGAATGGCAATGGATGCTGAATAGCTCCATGTGATATACCAGATGACGATATCCTCCAAGCTTAGAGAACTTTGTTGTTTTTTGAGTAGAATTCTATTCACTTCAAATAGCCCTGCGATCAGGAAACCACCGCAACATTGATAAACAACCTTGCTATTTTGGGTATGAGAATGGTGTATAAGACTGCGTCAGAGGCCTTCACAGAATCCAGAAAAATCACCGATGAAAAGATACTAGGAGATTTGGATTTCGCCGATGACATGTGTTTAATGTCACACAAACTTGAAGATCTACAGGCAGAAACAAACAAGTTGACAGAAGAGGCAGAGAAGGAAGGCGGGACTTCAGATGAGTTTAAATAAAACGGAAGTGGTGAAGATAACCAACTAACAACCAATTCACTAACAAGCACCAATCACCATCAACGAAAGGAAGTAGCTTCTTCCACCTATCTAGGCAGCCCTATCTCAACTACAGGCGGCACAGACGAGGACGTCAAAGCCAGGATCGGAAAGACAGCAAGATAAGCGTTCATTAACCTGAAACCAGTGAGGAGATCTACTGCAATGCACTCAACATAGAGCATAAACAAGATCCAGATTTTCAACACCATTGTCAGTCGAGTCAGTGCTTCTATGTGATACTTGAGAAACTTGGCGTGTCACGAAAAGCATTTCCAACAAACTACACATATACATTGTCGACAGCTGCCGCCCACGCTGGTTCGATACTGAAGATCATATAGATGGTGAGAATAATGAGAATAAGCAAGGGGGAACTGTGGCTGGCTGGCTGGCTGGCTGGCTGGCTGGCTGGCTGGCTGGCTGGCTGGCTGGCTGGCTGGCTGGCTGGCTGGCTGGCTGGCTGGCTGGCTGGCTGGCTGGCTGGCTGGCTGGCTGGCTGGCTGGCTGGCTGGCTGGCTGGCTGGCTGGCTGGCTGGCTGGCTGGCTGGCTGGCTGGCTGGCTGGCTGGCTGGCTGGCTGGCTGGCTGGCTGGCTGGCTGGCTGGCTGGCTGGCTGGCTGGCTGGCTGGCTGGCTGGCTGGCTGGTTGGCTGGCTGGCTGGCTGGCTGGCTGGCTGGCTGGCTGGCTGGCTGGCTGGCTGGCTGGCTGGCTGGCTGGCTGGCTGGCTGGCTGGCTGGCTGGCTGGCTGGCTGGCTGGCTGGCTGGCTGGCTGGCTGGCTGGCTGGCTGGCTGGCTGGCTGGCTGGCTGGCTGGCTGGCTGGCTGGCTGGCTGGCTGGCTGGCTGGCTGGCTGGCTGGCTGGCTGGCTGGCTGGCTGGCTGGCTGGCTGGCTGGCTGGCTGGCTGGCTGCTGGCTGGCTGGCTGGCTGGCTGGCTGGCTGGCTGGCTGGCTGGCTGGCTGGCTGGCTGGCAGGCAGGCAAACAACCAACCAACCAAGCAACCAAGAACCTAACACTCAACAAATATGCAGAAGGAAGTGGAGATTAATTGGGCATGCACTGAGAAGGCCGATTGGGGACATCATACACCAGGCCAAACCGTCGACTGGAGTCGAAATGGGCAACGACGATTTGTTCGTCTGAGGCGAGGTTGACATGGATGAGATGATGTGAGGAAGAAATAGGAGCTTGTGAGCATTCGTGGAACCAGGTTGAGAAGACTGTAGAGAAGAGAGTGAAATGTAGACGTGCTACTGATTCCCTATATTCCACTGGGAACCCAAGGGCCAAATAATAATCATATAATCAGCCCCTTGTCTTGAGGTTTACTGTCCACTCCGAAAACAAGGCTTCTTACAATAAAAGCCAGTCAGCCAGCCAGCCAGCAACGGTTCCTCCTTGCTTATTCTCATTATTCTCGCCATCTATATGATCTTCAGTATCGAACCAGAGTAGGCGGAAGCTGTCGATAATGTATCGGTGTAGTTTGTTGGAAATGATGGTGATTGGTGCTTGTTAGTGAATTGGTTGTTAGTTGGTTATCTTCACCACTTCCGTTTTATTTAAACTCATCTGAAGTCCCGCCTTCCTTCTCTGCCTCTTCTGTCAACTTGTTTGTTTCTGCCTGTAGATCTTCAAGTTTGTGTGACATTAAACACATGTCATCGGCGAAATCCAAATCTTCTAGGACCTTTTCTTCAATCCAGTGTATCCCCCCTCTTCTCGCTCCTTACTGTTTTTTGCATGTTCCAGTCCACTATAATCAGGAATGTCATGGGTGATAATAGACAGCCTTGTTTCACTCCTATCTTCTTTCAATGGCATCACTGAGCTTCCTATTGTGGATTACTTGGCATGTGGCTTTTTCATATAGTTGTTGAATGAGATTGTTAAAGGTTTGTGATATTCCGTAGTGTTGAAGCAGCCGCTGCCAAATTACTTCTCGCTCAACGCTGTCGAACGCCTTTTCGAAGTCAATGAAGTTGAGGTAGAGGGTTGACTGTCATTCTATACTCTGTTCTATGATGATGCGAAGCGTTGCAATTCGGTCCGCATACGATTTGTACTTCCAGAATCCAGCCGACATGTTCCGGTCGTAGTTTTGAACCCAACGCATTGTTTAGTCTCTCCAGGATGATGCAGAATAATATTTTGCTTGCTTTGGGTGGACAGAAGTGGAGCATGATTCCGCACCAGTCCTTGCAAACACTTAGGTCGCTCTTTTTCGGGAGTTTGACAAGGTAGCCCTTCTTCCAATCAGTGGGCAGGTACCTTCCCTTCCTTCCACACCTTCTGCAATAAAGGTGTGAGCATGTTCGCTGTTCTCTCTGCGTCTGCTCTCAGTG